ACTGGCTTTTTGTAGCCTTTTAGAGTAAACTATCAGAAAATAAACATTTTTTAGCATGTCATTTCAGCTATATCATCACTATTTCAAATTTATCAAATTTTGAAAAAAAAATACACTAATGTACATTATCATTTTGAGGTATAATGTGGGAAAATAATATTTTACGTATTTGACAAACATCAGGGAGATTGTAGGTTTGAATCCTGTCGGCAACTGCAAAAAAGTTACGAGACACATATCAAGGAGGTTATTCTGTTTACAGGTTCTATGGAGCCCACCAAGTGTCCACTTGGTTACAGAGAGTATGACGGTTCACCTAGAAACACATTCGAAGATACTTGTGAAATTTGTAGACCTGGTTACTATGGTAACCATCCAGAAAGGGAGAATTGTACTATCTGTCAACCTGGTGTTGTTTGTTTAGCTGGCGCCACTACGGATCAGCCAATGGCCAATGATACTATATGGGGTATCAATAATACCAATTCATTCCCATGCCCAATTGGTAAGTTTTTTGTTTTGTTTTTCAAATAATACTTTTGTCCCATTGGTTAATATTGTGATTCTTGTTGAGTTCTCAGGTGTAGTGCTTGGTATGTTTTTTCAGTCAAATCTTTCTAAACTGAATCCCTAATAAACTAGTAATTTGTTTGGCTTTTTTGATGACATTTTATATGTGTTTTGTAACAAATATTCTGATTGGCCTTTGAAGTGCATCTCCAGACATGCAGCCAATAAAAGCGCCTGATTTACAATTTCAATTTAGAAGTGTCTCAGGAATTATCTCTGGACTAGTTTATCCAATTTGTCATTAGTACTGTTAATTGAGTTTAGAACAAGTTGAGGCACCAGTGTCTTGTTGCATATTTATAATATATATTTATTTATATGATTTTCCTGTTTTTCATTATATTCTATTTTGTATACTATTTTCAAATGAATTTAAATCTGCAAAATAAAATCCACTGTTTGTGATTTTAGCTTGCCCATAATGATGGCTGTAAGTTATTAGTTAAAACATTTGTTGTTGTTGTTATCGTCATTAATAATTTCCTAGTGGTCACTCATATATTTGTTATCCAATCTGTTTTCAACCTAGGTTTATTATTGATCTGTAATATTCTTGATGAAGTTAATTTTTAGTCTTTGGAAGTATGGTGAATATAATCATGGTATTTGAAGTCTGATACTGACATGATCTTGTAATTCCTATCTATTTCAAGGTTACTACTGTCCTGAAGGCTCGTTTGAATCACAGCCA